CTGGTTTTGTGTGAATTTATATTGCTCAGCTTTCACTGTGCACTGATAATAACATTGGAATAAAAAAATCTATTAGGTTTCTGTTGCTTAAACACAAATGAGGAGAAACTTTATTGCTTGTTTTTTTTAAAAAAGAGGTTACTTTCTTTCTCAAGCTTGCTATTTTTGCTTGTGTGTGCATGTGAAACAGAATCAGAGCCATTACTTAAGCTGAAAAACAAACTTTTGAGAAATCTGCTTTGAAGAATTTAATTGCTTTGTCTCCAATTAGTTATTGCATTTTTTTAATAAAATGTTTGTATTACATTTTTCCAGCCTTCTGTAGGAAGAATTAGAATTATTTTTTTTCTCTTAACTATCATTCAGAAATATCAATGAAACTGAAAAATTGAGATCAAGAGAGTCTTTAAGGCACAATCAGAATCTCAAACCTTCTCTTATGGAATTGATTGCATTATTCTTTGGATGTCTTGCCCCAATGACTATTTAAAAATAATTTGTTGGATCACAATCTTGCCATTAATATTCTATGTTTTTTCTCCTTTTTAGGGTTTTGGGTCCACTGCAATGACTCCAAACTGAATGTATGTAGCGTGGAGGAGGTATGCAAAACCCAAGCGTACATTCTTTTTTATACACAAAGAACTATACAGGGCAGAGCAAGTATCTCAGAAACACAACTTCAAGCTCAGGTGCTGTCTAAACACAATGTTAGAAGACTGACACTCCCCTGAAAGGAGACATTATTCTCAATCAATTGATTCTTTTTCAAAAGCCTTTGGAATTAATTCAGCTAGGCAAGAACAAGTACTGTTGCAAGAATTTTGGATCCACCATCTGGAAAATTTGTTCTCCTACTATGTGCAACTCTGTTCTATAAGATTGTAGCAGAGCATCTATTTTTTTTTAAAAGGCAGATGCATTTGTAAACCCTTCCTTCTCCAAACAAAGAGTAACAGCCTCCAATGTGTATGACCATTTTTCTTCTTTCAAAGAGGAATTGTTATGTGGTATGAAAAAGTAGGTACATTCAAAACTTCTGTGTACAGACAGGATACAAAGCCATTAAACTGACCATAAATCTATACATTACTTAAAAAAATAAATGAATAGTAGAATTCTATCTCTGTTCTGTTGATGTGGTGAACTGTTGTTACACTTCTTGGTGTAAATAACTCACCAATTATACATTGTTCTTTCCAACCAACATAATCTAGGTAGATAGAATTGTACTATACAAAAACAATGATTTTTCTAAACTGGGAAAATATGCTCATTGGTCCTTGTTTATATCTTTCAGGTAACAAAACAAATGTTTGTGCCCTACAATTACCCCAATCTATTAGGACAAAAGTGGAAATTATATATATATCTGAGTAATTTGTTGCATACTTCAATTTGAACCTGTGCTAAAAATTACAAGTAGTTTTCCCCCCCACCTAATCTTATTCTTAGCTGCTAACAAGACAGCTACGTAAACTGAATTTGCAACCTAACTTTTCTTGTGTAATTATACTTAATATAGGATACATTACTTTCAAGACTTCCATCATCTACTGTTTATCCTATGATGATCACTGCATGAATAGGTCTTGTGAATCCATTCAGGTTCACAGTGAAGCTTAGGTTTTTAGTATTACCGACACGTGGTTCAACAAACACAGATTTTTAAAAATCAACTCTTACCCTAAACGCATAAAATTTTTGCATATACAAGAAAAAATGGTCAGGAATATAGTAGCCATTACATAGAATGACAAGTTCATTTCACCCTAACCTTTTCATGACCATTTTTCCATTCAGTTTTCCCTTCGTTGTATTTTTGGGAAGTCTTAAAGAGGTTTATTTTGGAGTCTTATAGAGAAAGAGATTGCACCTAAATTGTACACCTATATTCTCTTTTTTCCCCAGTTGCTTTTCTTGCTGTCTCAGAGACATAATACATTCAGCTCTGGAAATTTAACAGTAAAAATCTACTATACTGTATATCTTAAAGGAAAAGCCCCTGACCACTTCATGTAAACTTTAAATATCACTAACATCCAATTTATGATGGCTACTTTTACCTATTAACCTTTCATGATTACACTGTTCCAGTGCAAAGACATTTTTGGAAAATACAGACCTCATTGCAGCTAAGCAACTTGTTGCCTTTCAGTTAAGAAGTACTGATGTGCAGCATACAAATCCCATGTTGTTCACTTGAAATGGATTCTTTTGCTGGTTTGTACATAGCCTTGAAAAATTCAGTCTGTAATAACTGACTGTATTTGTACTAGCCAACCTAGAATATAAATTGCTGTGTGTACGATTCAGCTTTCAGCAGGGTGGGAGGAATCAATGTCTATGGAAATCTGTAAGAAGCTCAACTCAAATATGGTAGTGTCAAGCTGGAGGTTTTTAAAAACAAAAGTGGACATGGTTCTGGCACATGCAGTGTTTTTACATGCTTTCTTATGGTAATTCTGAATCTGGTATTTTAAATCCATCAGCAAATTCCTGATGAAATTGAATCACAAAATAATTAAAGAAAAACCTACCGACTTGTCTCTTCTCATCCTGCTAGGGAACTATATTGGAAGTGCATGGGATTGTTATATGCAGTGTTAGCCTTGACCCTATTATTCACTTTCTGATTCTGTCAAATTATAGTTTCTAGTCAAACAGATAGGAACACTCAGAGCCCAGATGTGACTTATAAAACATAATTTCCATTCCAGAAAGGTTTTTTTTAGCAGAAGCATTCTTGATAATAAATTCACAATTCAACTACTGTAATTATTAAGACATTTAAGGAATGTAATAAAACTTGAATCGAGCAGGCTTTATTTTGGTAGGATTGACTTTGAAAGGTGAATTACAGTGCAAAAATCAGCACAATGATTTTTACAGCATGAAAAACTTTGTAAGGATTATCTCCAGGAAAGATAGTTGGGGCTGATGTACAGGCCTCACTTATTTTGCTTCATTATCATTATTTCAGATTATTCCTCAAAACAAAAATGAAAGGTGGTCATTTTTATAAATTAAGATCTTTCAGCCACTGCCATTTGCACTTACTCATTCTTTTTTCTCCCATTATTTGTTTTCTTATTGTCTTCCTCATCAAGTGCCATAAAATATCTTCTTGTCCTAACTCCACCCCACCCCAAGAATTCACATAACCAAGAATATCTTGCATGTAACATTCCGGTTGTTTCTACTCTTAAAGAAAAAAAAAATGCCGCCTGGCAGCTAGACCAGTTCTCAGTGGCTCTAATTCATGGATTCTATAAGAGATTTGAGCTCTTAAGCTCTCTTATGTGCCCATCTCCTTCTTTCTTGTCCTTGTGGGCAATGGCTGATGAAGAATTTATCATTGTGAGGTATTCAGAACTATGGAAGCCTCAAAAGTTACCCACCTCTAGAAAAAGCAAAAATACAGTAAAAAGATTGATCAAAAGCTGGCACAGCTTCCATTAATACAGTTTGAGTATTACATCCATATTTGAATAAATAGGAACATCTGGCACTTATAGGAGATATATGGAGAAGATAATAGAGGGGTGGGTGTATTAATAGCCATGACTGTTTTACATTTCCCAATATTTGAAGTCATAGTCTCTCATGTGGCTAATAGTGCCATGAGATATAAAAATGTGCAATTAAGAGTTATCTTGAGAGATGGAAGTAACTTACTTTTGGATTGAGCTTGCTATTCCCAACACTGAGGTTTCTGTAATATTAGCTTTTATTTGGAAGCGATAGTGTATAGCATTTTTATGCTGTTTCTTTTATATCTGCTGCAAGCAGTGTTCTTGCTATTCTTTGTACACTGTTTTAAAGTGTCCTGGTTGGCAGAAAATGAAATAATTCTATCTATTGCCATTATAATCAAAGCCTAACAGAATAATAAATGATACCATGTCTTCCCTTGTTTTTTTTCTAGCCACATTCAATTCCTTTGTTTGTATATTAATTGCAGGGTTGACAGGATCAACCAGCCCTGATTTGAAAATATTTATCATAGAGTAGTGATTCATTCACACAAAACATAGTATACCAGCAAAGATATGCCTAAAATCCTATATGTACCTGTTAAATCATGGCAAATAGTTTAGTCATGTTAACATGGTCCTAAGAATGCTATCTAGGAAGCAAGCCCGTTAACTTGAGTAACTTACTTCTGCATAAACATCTTTGGGAAACAACTTTTAAATTTACCTACAAAAGTAAGCTGGCTACATATAAAACTGAATCAGCTAATTCTGTGCCTGTTGCCAAAACTAGTGATGAAAAATAAAGTTGAGTGAAGCAATTCAGGACATAACTTTTTTAAAGGACTATCAAATCAGATATAAATCAGATTTTAATTTGATACACCTGTATCTCTAAAAATTTGCAGAATAAACAGCATCTAATAAAAATAAACACATAGGAAGAAAGGAAAAAATGGCTATTGTTCCTATAACAATATATCCTAGCATATTTCTTCATTGTACAATAAAGCTGAACTATGGAGACCTTTTTTATTGCTGTTGCTTTTGAATGAGCTGTTTTCATTTGATTTTCAGGGAAAGTTTCTACAAAGAGAAATTAAAATGCACAAGTAAATGTATGGATTCATAAGGAGATGCTAAGAAAAAAGTATGTCTCTATATACAATCTCTGGTAGAATTCCATATTTTATGAATGTTAAATCTAAGGAAAGAAAGTGAACAAGTTAATTTTGAAATAATTATCCCCAGCACAACTTGCAGCCACATCCAACAGTATTGCTGACTATGTTTATGGATTGAGTGAAAGTTGGGAAAAGGATTAATTTTCCCTCCTGATAAATCTTTATGAACAATTTTTTAAAGTTTAAAATGGTGCCTTGTACCTAACTATATTTTGCATGGGACACAAGTTTTTAGTTTCTTCACTCCCAAATCTGAGTCTTTACAATACTTAGGTAGCAGGTTTGGAGTTTTTTTTAAACATTTCTTATCTGTATGTGAATGGAAAAATGTTTCCTACCAGCAACTTGATGTATTTTATTGTATATGTCTAAATACTGTATTTCTAATGATGCAAATGGTTTGCTCAAAAGTAGATCATTTTGGGTTTTGTGTTAAATCTTTGTGGTTATTTTTAATTTTTTTTAGATAGGATTATTCCTCTTTAAGCAAGTAATTCGTAATTAAAATACAATTGGTAAGAATGCCTAGAGCAGCTTATTGACAAAGCAGTTTGAAAAAGGCTCTTAAACTACTGACTGGTGCCTTGCATGATAATGGTTCTCTTTTGCCATGATGTTCTTTCTCTTACTTCTGTTAAAGATGACAATGACTCAACATATCTTCATGCAGATAATACTTCAATAATATGTATCGGGCATATATATGTTTCAGTATAAAAATGATTAACAAATCAACCATATACTGAATACTATTTCATGAAATTAGACCTGACATCTAATTTTCTAATAACTGAAAATGCATTCTTGAATACAGTACTTTGAATAAGATTATTCATGGTTATTATTGCATAGCTGTAATATGCCTATTTTGAGTTGTAGCATCTCTCAATAGGCTCAAGACTGCTGTAATGCAGAGCATACAACAATGCTGATGCAGGCTGAACTGTGCTCTTCAAATTTACTTTAAATGAAATTATAAATGGAGATGTTAAATACACTACCAAGTGTTAAAATGTTTCATTTGAACAGAAAGGCTTGGATATACTCATGCATTATCAGTTGAATCTAAAAATTCACCTCTCAATTGCCACTATTTCTTAGTAAAATTAAAATGGCCTCTTCTATATATTCAGCCTAGCAGTAAGGCGAAAGAATTTATTACATCTATACATTTAATAGTAAAATTATACTATTGTGGATGCTATGTAATACTCCTGATACGTAGTGTCTTGTAAAATTCCTTACAAATCCAATACAACATATATTGAAATGATTGGAACTAAAGACAAACATAAACTTGTTCCTAGTGCTGCTATAATTCTACATTTAAGGAAAATCAATTTTATTATTTAGGAATCCAGCAAAATATAAGATGAATAGAGATCTTAGTAAAATGTTTACCACCACTTAGGAAATCCCAATGCATATACATTATCAGTTCTGCAGAATACATTATTAACAATTGGGAGACTTAAAAATTAACTTCTAGTAAGTGAAGTGGTAGTTGAAGCAGTTTGGGTTTAGAGTTGATGTTTTTATTCCAGCAGAAAGTATTTCCAGCAGAAAGTATTCTGCCAGTAAACAAACTTAATTTTTTTTCCATTCCAATCAGCTCAGAGAGAATTTATTTCTATAAAATGTAAAATTTAGTATATTAGCCGTATGAGACTAAAATTAAGAAGTACGCTTTATTTCTACTTGTTTTTTGAAATTGTATAGAACTTGCTTTTACCTAAAGTATACTGAATGCTTGGATTAGATTGTGGGTTTTCAGTATACAAAATTCAATAGGTCTTCTCTGAGAATTGATATATTTTGACACCAAAAAAACCCTATTTCACACTGAAAAGTTGATTTTAAACGTATTTCCTAAATGCAAGGATTCTCTACTTTTTTCTTACTGCTAAATTATTCTAACTTTAAGAGTAGCAAAAATTGTTACATTTTTGTCTTTGGGAAGAGTTATGAGTAGTAATTTACAGCTTCACTTTTTACTACTTATATCTTAATTACTGAAGCGGTCTTATTCTACATTTGCGGTGTATATGATACTGCCTCTTCTACACGGTTTTGTAGAATGGAAGTGAATAAAAGAGGACAGACCTGTCAATATCCAGCAGTCTGTCAATCTGTTTTTCAACTTCATCTAATCTGATATGTTTAGGTGGCTTTAAAATATTTTTTAATGCAAGAACCTTTAGTGACACAAAGATGGAAACATTTCTGTCCATTAAATACAGCTCTGACAGGATTACATTCTATGTCCTTTTGTTCTCTAATTTTGTCTATGATGACTACTGATAGATTTATTGGCTTGTGTATCTTGTGGATTAAGCTGTCTTTTATCCATATTTTGAAAAATACTTCTGATGAAAAATCATTCTGCTTTTGCTAACATATTAAATGATGTCTTGCAAAGGCAGTGGCAATCTTCCAAAAGAGGCAAAACATTTCAACTTTAAAAAAATGCATCTTTCATAAATAGTTTCCAGTTAACTTGAAAGGCACATAAAGCAATTCAAGGAATCAAAATGCTATGCAACAGAATTCTTTTTCATGTATAACTTAAATCAACTCAAAGCACCACACAACTGTTATACCGGCTGAAAGTTGTCCATAATTAACCCTCACCTAGGCCTTTTTAAAATGTATTTTTTCCGTTCAATAGTTAATAGTCCTACTTAAACACAGGACTGGGGCTTGTTACTTCTTTAAAAGTGAAATATGAATCATGTTTTTATGATTTTGTAAATCTACTCTTTTTACCTTGTTTTGTAAGCTGAAATTTCCTATTAAAAAAGAAAAAAGTTCAGTGCACTGGCATGTCTTTATTTCACATTTCAGGTCAGAATCTAACAGTTCAATTCCGCAAAATAATGTATATACATATATATATATATCAAAAACATTTTAGCAAAAACAACAATAGAATACTGTTTTCTATTATTATTTGAGTATAAAACCCAATGCTGCCAAAAAAATTAAGCATAGTGAAGAATGATGTAGAGCTAAAATATTGTCTTTGTTTTCTCCAATTCTTGCTATTTTTTCATATAGAGGATGGAAGTTCAGATTTGTAAAATCTGTAAAAAATGTAATGGTAAAAATATTAGAGGGTTGATGGCACTGCTCAACTGAATAAAAGCAATATATAGCCTTATCATAAATACATAATCTATAACTTACGACACAACTCTCATTTTCAAATTCTTATTCTAGAAGAATGTAAAATAAATCCTAAAAGATTTTAAAATTATATAGCTAATCATAGTGATGGCTGCAATTGCTTAATGATAAGTAATGAAGATTTTAAGATTGTACATTTTCATATTTTCAGGAAGGCTACAGAATTAACATCTCAGATTAAATCTTCAAATCCACTTATCGAAAAAGATATCACATTTGCTGTATGCTCTTAGCAAGGGTGTAGTTTCAGGGATACAAGAATAACTCTAATCAGTTTAATAGTTAATAGTCTTCCAACTATTACTAAATACTCTTTTATACCAAATCTCTCTTTTTAATGTATTTCTTGCAGACAAGTCCAAATAAAACTACAAACCTTTACTAAAATGCTTGCTTAGGTATGCTTACAATATTCCAGTATGTGAACAAATCGTATCACAAAGTCTAAACAGGTTTAATGGCGATATTTGTACATAAACTATAGACTTTGGTAGTATTTTCCTTCTGCATTTTCAAATAAGAACAATACATTCAACCACTCCCTTATGTTAAAATGGCTGTGGTATAAGAAATGCCAGAACTTGGTAAAAGGGTTTTTATAGTAGAAATCAAGTACACAGCCTCCTTTCTATTTATCATCTGTTGAGGAAATACCCTTATAGCAAAACCTCCATCTCATTGCCAGCCCATTGGAAGAGCAGGCTGAAGCTGATCCAAGGTACTCTGGCTTGAAAGTAGTGTTTTCCTTGGGAGAAGGGAAGAAAACCTCATGCAAACATTTTCATGCATGTAGAGGAGGCGCTTCCAGGAAGTTACGGGGGCTCTAATTTGCATGCTGTAGGAATAATTACCATTTGGCAGTTAATTTTGCTACTGCTGCTAAAGGGACTTCATCAATGCTGCCTAATTTGGGTTTTCAAAATTATTCACTTAAAAATACTTTGTGGAAGACCAACCATCTATTTACTAGGAGGTTGATATTCCTATGCCATACAAATTAAATGGCTCTGCAGGACCTCATTCAATTCCTGCCTCTGCAAAGAATTACATCTGATGCTTCTTATTTACCAGTTTTTCCAAGGATATAGCCAGTTGTCAGTTTGCTGCATTTGAGCCCTAGAATTCCTGAAAGGAAATTCCATGCATTGAATAATAAACATGGGGCCTTGAGAATAGGAAGGAAGAAAAGCCTTGGAGGGGGTAAGAAGAAAAGTTTGGCGCAACTAGCAAGAAGGAAGGACTGAATTCAAATTTTCTCCTTGACAATGGATGCACCAGAAACCAGACTGGGAAAAGTTGAATCTCCCTTACCTACTATCAATACCAAATGTAAAAAAAAAAAAACTGGAGCAAGCTCTTTTTGAAAGCTGCATGCCAATAATTATCAGGCCCAAGCTGAGTGCCTGCTCCCCGCTCCGCCCAAGAACAGTTGGTTTAGTTACTGAGGCAATCGTGTTTCATTGAGAATTTCTGACTTTAGGGAGACAGAATATTGCTTTGAAATCCCACCTTCCACCTGCCTCTTAGGGCTATATAACTTTCCTAAGTTGTTTTATCTGTAACAGGACAGAGTCTCTGTTCAGGATTGGTAGGACTCTTCACACAGCTGTTTTTGGAGAACTGTTACTTTCTGTGAGGGCAGCAAAACTACCTGTCTTTTCCTGAGGTCTGATAAAAGGTAGGCTGTGAAAGCTGTGAATTTAAACAGTATACTTTATTCCATCTCAAGGACAGGAGAAAAACCCATCTGCTCCCAAATTAACTTGTGGCAATATTAGAAAAGGCATTAAAATTTTAAAAATAAAATTAAATAGATATTTTTGCATAATCTTAATTTTAAGAAAAATAATAAAGAGCTGATATTTAAAGTAACCAATACAAAGCTTATGAATGTAGCACATTTTATACATTAGGGAAGGGAAGGGCTGAAAATAACAAAACATGCTTTATGCCCCATAACTTACATATTTGCATGAGCTATTGGGACCCAAATATATAATTGTGGCACTTATATGTGTCACTAGATAGTCATTTTGGTATCATTGTAGTTTGCTAAAAAAACAAGGGTTTTAAAGAATTTTTTAATCCTGCCTTTATTTTTAAATAATATAAGGCAGCAAACATATCTAAAATTCTTTCCTTCTATTTTCCTATAACTGCCCTGTGAGTTGAGTTGGACTGGTCCAAAATCACCCAGCTGGCTTTCATGCCTAAGATAGAACGAGAACTCAGTTTCCTGGTTTCTTGTCTGGTATCATTACCATTGGATCGAGCTGAGTTGCTTGTGTAAAAGAAGTGTAATCAGTTTAATAATTGGGGTTGAGATAAATGAATAATTTGCTTAATGAGAAGAAACATTAAGAAATTACACACTATGGTATATACTCACCTATTATGCAACAGGTTGTGGTGCCATCAAATCAATGTCTGTTAAGTTTCTGGCTACCCAGACACCTACTGCAAAGAGTCCCAGATTAACTATGAGGTTTCTGTAACAAATGCAAGTGAGAGCTAATGACAACTGATACTGATTATACAGAATGCTAATACAGAATTTGTTATCGAGAAGGACTAAAAGTGTGTTTCAAATAAATTTTTTTCAATTGCAGAAATTATGTTCTCCAATGCTTTGGAGGGACTTTTTCTAACCCAGTCTTTTAATACTGCGTGTTGAGTCCCTTACTCCAGGGGTCCCCAACCACCGGTCCGCGGACCGATACCGGTCCGCGGAACAAGTCCTACCGGGCCGCTGGTTGCTGGGCGCCGCCTTTTTTTTTTTGATGAAAAAGTGCTTCCGGTGAGCTTTTCCGGGTAGAAAGCTCACCGGAAGCACTTTTTCATCAAAAAAAGATGGCGGCGCCCAGCTGATGCCGGTACCGGGCCGCGGCGCCCAGCTAATGCCGGTACCGGGCCACGGCATAAAAAAGGTTGGGGATCACTGCCTTACTCTATACTCTTTATATCCATGACTGCATTCCCACTCATGCTAGTAATACTATTGCTAAATTTGCAGATGATACAACAGTGGTGGGACTTATCTGGGGTGTGTGTGAGTCTGCCTACCGAGATGAGGTAGAATGATTGCTTTCTTGGTGTGGAGACAATAACTTGGTCCTCAATACCAATAAGACCAAGGAGCTTATAGTGGATTATAGAAGGAACAGATTAGACATCCAGCCCTTGCTTATCAATGGAGACCGAGTGGAGCAAGTGGCCAGTTTTAAGTTTCTGGGTGTTACCCTAAGAGGACCTGGCCTGGGGTGCCCACATTGCAGCCCTAGTCAAAAGGGCCCAGCAGAGATTATACTGAGACTCCTCAGAAAACAACTGAATGAAAAACTGCTGGTGACCTTCTACCGCGGCACCATAGAGAGCATTTCAACATACTGCACCTCTGTATGGTTTGCCAATTGCACAGTGGCAGATAGGAAAGCACTCCATAAGGTTAATGTCATTGCCCAGAAGATCACTGGTTGCCCTCTCCCCTCTTTGGAAGAGCTTTATAGCTCCTCTGCCTTAAGACAGTTCAAAACATTCTCAAAGATCCATCTCATCCTGGGAACCCTTTTTTTTTAACTATTACCATCTGGCAGACGGTACAGAATAATAAAAACAAGCACAAATAGGCTGAAAAATAGCTTCTATCCCAGGGCAGTAGTTCTTTTGAATTCTGCTGTATAGTGCAGTGTTGGTGTGGTGTGTGGGGTTTTTCGGTTCAATGTGTGGAGAGTGAAGGATGTGTGTTTGTGTTTATTTTCATGGTCATGATGTGCACTGAAGATAGTGCTTGATTTCATTGTACGAGGTGCAATGACAATAAACTAAAGAAAATACATAGGAAGGCGATGCATGCCTGTTTTAATGTAACTCTTCTGTACATCTTAAGACCATAAGAGCTTAAGTGCCTCAAGGCCTGTCAGATGTAGTGGTAATTCCACAGTGACTAGCTAACTTATGGAAACTTTCCAAGAAGGACATAACACTTGTGTTCCTGAGCAAATAGTAATCCCTGAAATCCCTAATTCTTCACGTGTTTCCCAATTATAGCTTCAAGATTAACGAACGTCGATACATCGAGAGGCACATATATTGTTGGGCTTTTACCCTTCCACAGTTCCCAGCCGCGGCCTGTGCTAAGATCAGGGAGGGGAAAACGAGTTTATAAAGGCACGAGAAGCAAAGCGCTCCCTCTTTTTTCCAGTAAGGTGTCTGGTCGAGACCCGAACCTCTCTCACCTGCGGAAGTCATTGCGGTCTGTGGCAAAGCGATAAGCTCCTCGGATCCAGCCGCGCAAACCTTCAGGGGTAACCGCGCCGGAAGTCCCGCCAGCAGGGCCTATTTGACCGCCTGTCACCATAGCTGAGCCTCCGGACACCTTGGCAAAGAGACTCGCACGACTTCTTCGAAGCGGAGGAAATAGCGACCCTCGCCGGCAAGCAAAAAAAACGTCACTGCCGGCGCGCGGCCTTTACGTCACTGTCGGTTTCCTGAGCCCTTGAAGTGGGGGAGGGGGGCGCTCGCGCTGGTTTCCTCTGATGCGGAGGTGCGAGAAAAGAAAAGCACAAGATGCGCCGAGGAAACGTTTCTCCGGTGTTTTCAACCTTGGCATCTTTAAGATGGGTGGACTTTCACCTATATGCTGGCTGAGGAATTCTGGGGGTTGAAATCCACACAGCTTAAAATTGACAAATGGCTGCTCCTACCTCGTGGAACACTCTCCCCCCCCCCCACTCTTGATTTGACAACATACGCACACGTGTCTTCTAGCCTTTGGAAGGCCATGAGGATGTGGCTTTTTAACTAATGCTTTGGGACAATATAATAGAACAAAAAGAATAGAATGAGGGTAATTGGAGTTTGCTGCAGGGCATCCTAAGAAGATGATGAAGGCACAGGGTTTTTGTAATTTTACTGTGTTAAGTTTGATAGTACTTGTTTTACCTCTGTTGTGAGCTGCCCAAAGATGTAAGATGAGTGGCCTTACAAATAAAATAAATGTTTCAGAGTGGGAATGTTGTTCGTCAGCTGTTGCTACAATTCTCACTTGGAAACTGAGTAACCAGTGTATTTGCAGGATTATGTATAATATGCCAGCAGTAACTACCCCTAAATCAATTGGATAGATTCTATGCGTTGATATTATAATTTTCTTTTATGAGGCTATAATCTCTGAAAAGAATTCAGCTTACTGTTAAATACTGTATGGAACTTAATTTAAATCTCCCAGCCAGAAGAATTAGTAACAGCCTGTGAGTGAGCAAAAATAACAGTGATAAATCTTCCCATTACTTTTTGAAAAGGATTACAATTATTGCTGGTTTGCAGAACCAAACCAGACAGTTATTAGAGGTGCAGATGACAGACTCAATAATTCCTCTGTAGAACTGTATCAGCAGCTCCTTGCTCACCTTTCCAAAATAAAAACCCCTTTCCTGCAGCTCACTTCTTATTCATTGGTGCTGATCATATTGTCCCAGTTGGAAGGAACAAATGGAGACTTTTTTTCTTCCTACACTAGTATGGGAAGCAGCTTTGCATATGTGAGGAAACAAAGGATGAGCAGAGAAAATTTGAAAATGATGTGGCCAGTTCCCTTTCCACTGATCTTACCCACACTATTTCCAGAAAAGTGGTGGAAGAAAAACAACCCCTTACACAAGCTATTCAGAACCAGTGGATCAACTTGTTTCCAAATATCTACTTTGTGTAACTGCTGCTCTGTCACTTCCCTTCAGCATGGTAACTCCAACCTCAATGACAGGTTTGCTGAAGAAATAGATTTTTAACTTGCTAGTGTCTTCCAAATAAAACCAAATAATAGCTGTTTATGAGGCATGTCCAGTACTGTTTATATTTATTCCATTGATAAGTTCTATAACTAGTGCTATCATCAAGGGAAAATAACTAACTAAAAGAAATATGCTGTTTTTGAAAGGAGAAGACACATGAGAAGACATATTTCCCATTGGAGGGCTTTAGTTGTGCAATAGTCTATAGGTTGTTTCTGTGAATGGATATTAGGGTTTTGAACCAATTTCTTTTGGTTTTTTTAGGTGTACAGAGGATAGCAGTGTTAATTAAAGTTCAGTGGAGTACCAGATGTTTCCTTTTTCTACAAGGGTTTGCAAAACTGACAGGAAGCATGCTAGTTTTTTAAAATCTTGATTCAGAGGCAGAATTTGCAGCTGAGTTGGAGATAAACTAAAAAAACAACCTTTAGCTGCAGGGTCTCCTTCTTAATCTAGATTTAATTAGATTGCCCACATTTTGTGAATCTATGACCAGAAACACATCAAACAAAGAAAAAAAAAGTTTTAAACAGTTTTATAAGAATAAGGACATGTACTTTTCACAGAAAAACATTTGTTCAGTTTCTCATTGTGGTAAGAAATTAGTGACCTATCACACCCTACAAACCTCAGAATGAAAATTGACAGGCTGTCGATTGCTTATGTCCTGAGTTCTTGGTGCTGAGTTGTTTCCCAGCAGACATTTCATTACCACTCTATCATAATCAGTGCAGGGGAGAGGGGAGTTTGCTGGCTATTTATAGTAGATTGTGTTATCACTCTTGGTGAGGGTATAACTTCATCTTGATGGTTCCTTGATAGGGTACTGTTTCTTCTAATTGTTTATTTGGTGCTGTGCCCTGGTTATCTGGGTATAGACTATTAGAAGGGATGTTGTAGAGCAGGGGTCTCCAACCTTGGCAACTTTAAGCCTGGAGGACTTCAACTCCCAGAATGCCCCAGCCATTGTTTTTTGAAATTCTTCAATAATATTATTGAGACCCTTGTTCTAGAGGATATAGGACAAAAGAAATATAAGGCATGTTTTATTAAATTAAATAGCATTGTCTTTAAAAATGTCTGATATAGGTAAAAGTTAAGTGATAGAAATAATGTTATAGAACATAGAATACCCACTAAAAAGGATCCACAATTTAAAAAAGTTTTCCAAAGAAAATCAGAATAGAATGTGGGAAGCCCCACCCTCCTCCTAGAAGAATGAAATATTTTGGGAAATATTAAAAAAGCAGAATGTTATATTTCCCCAAAGGGAGAAATGGAGAAACATGTTTTTAGAGGCAGGAAGCAGCCCCCAGGTTTTTCTTAATAGTCCACAGCAGATACTAGCACTTAAGGAGATAAAGACCTTATTGAAAGAAACCAACTATCTGGATGTCTCTATTCATAAGCAAAGCAAATACTGCAGGTAGAAATCCATTCAAGACAGGATATTTTGCAGCACAACAAAGGCATAATGATAGCCCCTCATCCAAGATCCAACACAGGACAAAAGCCATTAGCCACAATAGGAATTGCCCAACACTCTTTCAGAACACAAGCTCCTTCATTGCACCATCCCCAGAGCAGTCAAAACTTCAAAGTCACAGAAACATGGGAGCTCAGAGGTTGACCAGATTAGCTGAGACAAGCACCTAGGATTTATATTTCCTCTTTTGCCTATAGAGCCAGCTATGACCCCTACATGATCCCATAGGAATCTGACAACAGCCAATAGCATATTAAGGGACATGTTCTTGAACAGGAAGCTCAAATATAAAGGCCAAAAGAAGGTATAAAAACCCACTCAATTTCAACTCCATTTTGTTCAGCTGCCCAGAATCACATGTGGTTCTGCTTCATCAAGAAACCATCTTTCAATAAGCCTCCATGTTTCCAGTGTCTTTCTCCCAACTTAGAACTGAAGATGGATATTTGAATGAAAAGAATTTGAATGAAAAAATAGGTCCAGATGAACAACCCTTAAGAAAGGCATTTCAGAGGCCTTAAGGATCAATATTTAATACTTAAGGAATTCTAAATACTTAAAGAAGAGAAGAAACTATATTTAGTCATTTTTATTGTAGGTAAAACATACATCTCTTTCCTCCTTTTGGTCCTCCCTCCTTAAGAACAATAAAACAATTGGATTCACATGTCTTATATTAAGACTTAATGCTCAATTACTGGTTAAAATCAGTGACTTTGTAGCAGGAAAGCTGTATTAATGGTAGCAAAATATCATAAAGAGTCTGCTATCATTCTTCCTTTATCTAACCTAAATTAGTCTGAGGACCACACAAGATGGACTTTGTAGTACCAAAAACATTGAATTTGTAGTATTGTTATACTTGCTAACAAACATAGTTATTTTGTATTTTAATCTGACTTATTTTTCTCTCTTTTAAATGAAGTTTTCAAACCATTGCAGACTGCATTGATTGATAGCTTCTAAAATTCCTAAACTGAAAAGATAAGATATAGGATGGGATACCTGAACAATGTCTCCTGATAAGAGAAAGCTTGTTAGCACTAATTATTATCTGGTCTGTCGTGAACTCCAAACAAACATTTTCCTTATTAACATCTTAAAATTTATGCCCCTTCTGTCATCAGACTTCATTTTAATGAATGTGTGGAAATATATGACCACATGTAACTGATTTTCTACAAAAAGGGGAAGTTACTTTTGTCCTGTCCAATCACCTTTTCTCTTGCATTGTCTTTGATGTCTTGCCTATAACAAGGAACATAAGATGGGTCTTTTTGAATGAGAGGAATCCATTTATCAGAATGTTCATTTATCACTTTCTGGAAAGAAGACACAAATTTATAGCTGATGTGACTTTTTGCACACTCCTTAGATGAAGTCATTGAGCTAACAGGCTGCATCTAGCACTCGTATCCCCTATTTTTAAGGCAGACTCACAGGTCCTTCAGGTCTAACAGAGAACAGTTTTGCAATTCTCTCCACAACTTCCTTCAATCTCTTTGAGATGTAAAGTGGATTACAATTCTCTCCACAACTTCCTTCAATTTCTTTGAGATGTAATCCACTTAGTGCTGGATAGGTTTAAATTAGCAATATAATCTTTCCTTATCTATTAAAAAAAATGAAGTTTCCTAATTGCCCCAGCAGTGTAGCAATTACCTGAGTGTGAGAGAGTGAAGGAGGGAGGGAGGGAGTCAGTCAGTCAGTCAGGCTAACTAGCTGTCTGCTGCCATCTTGCTGCATCTGTTTCTGTTGAGTTTCTGAAAGAGGTGGGAAAAAAATGTAAGTTCTGCTTTTTCACTACTGTATTACAAACTGGCTATTTTCTCCTCACAACAGACCTACATTTTCCATTTCTACCATAGCTGAACTATTCCCTTAGTGCAATGTTTCTCAACCTCAGCAACTTTAAGATGTATCAACGTCACCTTCCAGATGCTGGCTAGGCAATTCTGGGAATTGAAGTCCACACTTTAAGACAGGGGTGCCAAACTGGCGGCCTGTGGAGTGGATGCGTCACGCGCAGGTCACGCTCACCCCAGCTCCACAAAGGGAAAAAAATGTTGTGATACATCATGTGATGGCAATGTGGCGAGTTTGACACCCGTGATTTAAGATAAAAATTGAGAAACAACGGCTTAGTGTTTCTTTATCCGGGTCTGAGATATAATATAGTAAATTGTAATTTTCCATAATGTAGACTAACATATAGCTTATATACCATTTATATAAGGTTTATTCTTTGTTCAAATTACTTAGAATAGTATTTTGAAGTATAGCCACACTACTACATATCCAAGGCCAGACATGTTTGTCCAATGTATGAACCCTGCTAAGGAATATATGAACAGCTTCTGGCTTGAGATATGTGCCAGGTACTGCATAGTATAGAAAAACAAGAGGGGCTGAGTGCTTGTGACAGTATGGGCATAATTAATTTTAACCATTTAGGTATGGTTATGTAAGAAGTAGAGCAATATGAATCCATTTTGTATATGTATGTGTGTTTCAAAAGGCAGCTTCAGAACTTTTCCAGAGGAAATAGCCAAAACCACTTACTGTCAGTTGGTAGCCTGGAAAGTACTGATAAGTAATGGGTGTTCCTATCTGTGAACCAAGCCATCGTATGATGGGGCGGGGGCTAGGGTATAAGTATTGTGGAAAGGGAACTTCATGAGGACAGTGGTGACACCCAAGCAGGAAAAGCCCGAGGGGAACATCAGGCCAGCCATAAAACAAAATTGCATAGGAAAAGGAATCAAATAAAAGGTATTGAAAGAAGCCCCCTAGACAAAAGCCAAGTAATTAAGAAAACTAAGGAAACAAGAAAAGAAAACCCTTACAAACACAAGACATGCCAAATCAGCTAAACAAACAGACAAAAGACACGAAATAAATTCCATAGCAGACAGGAGATTGCCACAAAACAAATATAAGAAAACATTAGGAAATTGATAATCCAATCAAACTACCCTGCAAAGTTTGCCTTCTGCACCCCACGGAGTTTACCCTCCGGCGGAAATGAAGACAACCCCTGACAGGATTTAAAACATTAAGAAATACAAACACAAGCACTCACACACAAAAGGAGAAAAAAGATATAAAAATCAGGGTTTTTAATATACAAAGAGAGCTAGCTCCAGGAACGCAGACTTCTTGCTATCTCTCGCCTTCCTGAAAAATAAACCCAGCTTCCAAGCAGTTGTCTGAATCCTTGCACCAGAGTTCTCCCAGCAGGAAAATCGAATCCTCAGAAGAAAGGCATTTTCCAGCCTTTCAACAGTATGTTGAGCAAACTATGCTCGAGGTTCCATCCTGCTGCCTTGGATGTGAACCCGCTTCTGCAGAACCGAATAAATCAACTCGTGTTTGGAGATCCGTGTCGTGTCTTGTGTTTCGTGTGAATCGCAATCTCACAGTTATAACTTATAGGCAGTTAGCATGTGACTGACCTGGGCCTATCAACTGGGCCTGGGAAGGATGGTCAAGAGGCCGGTGATAGAAATGTATAAAATATGCTGAGATCTGTAACTGGTGTCGTCTCTTGCCTGTAAGTATTGAAATCCACCTATCTTTGCAAACGCTTCAATAAAATTGTTTTGTATTCCAACAACTTTGGAGTTGAGATTTTACTCCTCACAAGGGTCTTCCTGTTCTGAGCTTCTGACATTCCTTAGTTTCTAGAAACTACCTCGAATTCTTGTTGGGTTGTTAGGCCTGCATGATAATGTACATTGTAAGTGTGTGGTAAAGTATTATTACTGCAAAAGGCTGACCTTTCCCTGACACTGGCAAAAACATTTCACTGAGAGATCAAACATTTCTCTCCAAAGTTCCAATTCAAATGATTCCCTTTTTTATACAGCCCTGTCCCAGTCTCCACATCCCTCCTCATTCCCCATTGGCTGAGGTGCTATAAGGTTACACTCTCTTCTACTGCCTTCTACATATTTGTTTCTACATACTAAATCACACAATGCATGTGCATTTAAATTAACAGACAATATATGCAAAGTGTGTCAAATAATATTTGTGGTGGTCTGGCATTCAAAGTGAGACACAGGGAAAATGTCTGAGCAAATGCCAGCCCTGAGCGAACTCAGGCAGCAGTATTTATTGAGAAAAGTAAGCGAAAATACAGCATGCATATTCAGAAAACAATGACCTCGACAGGATATTACCTAAACAGGATGAGAACATACATCCAACAGGATGAGAACATATAGCCACGGAAGGTCCCATGAGAAAGTCCAGCTGTGTATCTTGAACTCTTATCTATTTTCCTGTTCCTTCTAAACCCGCAGATCACAACAGGATGAAACACTCATTGCAAAGGTACTCCTACCCCCACCAAGAATGCCTGCATATCCCTAGATCTATGCGAAATGGCTGTACAAAGGACTTACAGAAAATGACCAATAAAATATGTTACCACAATATTCAGTAGGATTTTGGGCATGTTCTGTTGCCTTATTTTTGAGTTCCTGGTTATTTGATGGGTTTTTTAAATTCAATTCAGTTTTGTCTTTCCTGTTTTTCAATTGGTTTTGTTTTCCTTTAAGATAGTTTTTTCCTCTTGCAGCTACCTCCTCTTACAATTTTTAATTTTGAAGACCATTCGTTTACTCCAGGGGTGTCAAACTTGTTGGCCACATCAACGTGTAGCAAACAGCTTAGCAAAGTGTAGAGTTGTAATTGCAGGAGTATTCCTATCTCGGATGGCAAACCTCAGATAAAGAATGTTTCCAAGCAAATACAACTCAGGCAAACAAAGTCACTAATCTAAAGGAGGATTAGAGAGAGGAAGTAAACATATGTTAGACTTTAACTAGAGATAATCAATTGTGTTATTTACTATGCTAAACAGTAACTAAAGTTAAGCAGTGACCAAAGTTAACCAATGATTGAGGATAACTAAAAATGTGTATAAATGCAAGACTAAATTCCAATAAAATTCATCATGATTCAGTTGATCATGATCAAACAACTCGACTGCCTCGTCATTACAACAGCAAAGGGGGGAAAGTTGTGATACGTTACATGATGATGCTGTGACAACACGAGTTTGATACCCTTGGTTTACTCCTATCATACGCAAAACGATATACTTGAATATTGTTTTAAAACATTTGAGGATAAACTGCAAAGAGCTTGAATGACTTGTGGTAATTTTCATCTCCCATTCCTAATTTTATTGTAAATTTTTTAAAAGCCTCCATGCCTGTGTGGGAAGTCCCCCACCCCAGAAGCATGAAATATTTTGGGAAATATTAAAAAGGCAGAATATTATATTTCCCTAAAGGAGAAATGGAGAAACATGTTTTAGAGGCAGGAAGCAGCCCCCAAGTCTTAATAGCCCACAACACATGCCAGCACTTAAGAGCTTATTGAAAGAAGCCAACTATCTAGATGGCTCCATTCATAAGCAAATACTTTAATAATCATCCTACACCCCTCAGCTTACACCACATCATTCCTTTCCAGGCCCAGTTGATAGGCCCAGTCTGATCACATGCTTTCCGACTGCCTATAAACTACTATCACACTTAAATGTTTAAAGTCAGTCAAGCCCTTAATCTAAACTTGCTAAGCATTCACTCCTCTCATGTCTCACTTCTTTGATACATTTCTCAAGAATTGCAACATAGTCATATAAAAGAACGATGTTCAAGTGAAATAAACATCTGAGGAAGAAAAACATCGAAGTGGGTTTGGGTTGGATACATTCTCAGCCTTCTCAAGGTTAGACTTAATCATTTTCTTTGTTCATGGAAACTTAAGAACAGCTAAATTGGTGTCTACCAATGTATACAGTTGAAAAGCAAAGGACAAACCCCATATAAATTATAAAATATAGTACTAAAATGGACAATTACAACATATCATATCATAACCCACACACCCCTTTATGCATTTGGCATAATGCGTAATACTAGATTATATTGAATTAATGGGCTAAAATTTTTACATGCATTTTGTTATAAGAGACAAAGAAACACACTTGGTCCTTCTGGTTCTTTTTCATCATAGCCCGTTAACTCACAGGTCTCATTTTCCTGGGCCAATTGCCAAAGGAAACGTCTGCAATGAACGTTAGGTCCCTCCTTGCTCTCGAAAATGTGGGAGTCCTTGTGCGCCGCCTTCTTGCCTGCAACTGCAAAGCTTGAAAAGAAGCGCGTCTTAAGAAGGTTGTTGCGTGGTCCGATATCTTTATTTTCCGCGTTGCTCGACTGCGCTTTCCCTTTGAGCCCGCGGCGCGGAGACATCAACGTTATTAGCGCGCATCTCAAATCTGGTCTTTAGTAAAACTCCAGTCAGCCCTTAACATTTATTGTGAGCGGTCGAATTAGACTGGATCCCCGCTTTAAAGCAAAGCCGAAGTAGACGCGGGCTTGGTAAGTTTTCCAGGACTGGTTTGCTTATGTATCTGGACAAGGGATGGGCATGCAAGCCTGCCCTGAAATGAAAGTAACTGCTATGGATTATTGGGATTATTTAAAACCATGACTACAGGATTCTGAAACAAGGTGAATCTGTTGACTTTGTGCAATACGAGCCGGGAGGGGAGAAGGGAGAGCAGGCTTTCTCAAGAGTGGTTTAATTATATTTCTGGTTAAATGTTCTAGAATGTTTTATATTTTTTTATGAGTTGCTATAATAGCCTTGTTATCACTGTAATTATTTGTTGATTTCTCTTTTCCTTCTTCCGACTATTTTGAAGATACTTTTTCACTTTGGTGATCAGAAAGGGTAAGTTATGGGTCTACTCGTGTGCAAGTAGTGCTGCTTATTCCTTCCGCCCTATTTCAAAATGGGTTTAACAGAAACCATGGTGGTGGGGAAGATTGATATTTGTTTATGCCTCTTTTTTTCTCGTGTATCCTCTCGACAGTTGCTACATCCAACTATTGTCAGCATTATTAATTTTAGTCTCTTGACCTGCCAACTAATTTTTTTACTGGAACTTTGCTAAGATTTTATAGCCTTGTTTACTTCCTTACTTCCAGCTAACATTCTCACACAATTCTACATCCTTTCCCATCAGGGGTTTTTAGGTTATACAGAGGATAAATATGGCATTACATTTGCTCTTTTCTTTACAGGAATAATTTTCATTTCTCTCATTTGTAAACAGCTTCCATTATTTAGAGTCCTTAAGATGGAAGGTATGAATGTAAATCCCCAGTTGTAGCTTGTAGAGAGATTTGAGAGCATTGAGGTGGAGAAAACTATTTAAAGTCATCCTCAGAGCATAATCTTAGCCTATGCTGTTATTCACACTGTTAGTTTTCTTTGAGTTTTAGTATTATCTCCTCCCCTTTTCTCTTCCACCATTTGCCTCACTGTTTAAAATTTTTATTAAAGTTTAAAATGAAAGGATAAAAAACCAATACAAACTAATAAAAAACAAGTGCAGAGAAAAAAGTGAGGGATAAATAAAAATATATACAGAAGTATAAAACTTTATCTTTGTATTTTTACACTACTTCCCTCCCTTTAAAGGCTGATTGTGCTGCTTTTGCTTTTGAAAATACACTTTTAGCCTTCTAGTGTAAATCTTTTTTTAAAGGTCTTGAAAAACAACGTGCTCCTAGAAAGATAACTGAGTAACTTTTGTGCTGAAACTTTAATATTGGATATTTCTACTCCTGAGTATTGTGTCAGTTTTATTTGCAAGATCTTCATCAGATGGTGGCATATTACAGTTTTTCTTTTATAAATGAGATGTGTGGTAATGCACTTGATTTCTATAGCTGTTAGCCTATAGTAGTGACTTTTTTTTTCTAAGATGACTCCTCACCTTTTGTCAATTTTTATTTTGCTATCTTTTTAATAGATTTTCTAAATCTAAATAGTTCAGGTTGAAAAGTTTATGGAATTGTCTTAAGAACCCTTGCTGCTGTAGAATATGATGAAAACAAGCTTTCTGTTCTAAGTCAATTTTATATTTCTATTTGTAATTTCAAATTCAAGCATTTAATTCTCCAATGTAGTCTGTTTTAAAATATTTCTAGTCCATTTAGGCAAGCCTTCCATTGCCCTCCTAAATACCGTAGTAAAATCTGTTTCAGCAGACTGATAAAACTTGTTCATGGAATTCTTGAGTAAGTTATACTCTATACTACTATATACTGTAGAATAATAATTACTTTCGCAAATAGTTTTTACTTAGCTTGCCTAAACTTTGCATGTTTAGTCAAGGCATGACATCTTTTCAGTGTTGGTCCTTTCATAAAACTTTCTCCATAGGCAGGAATATTTCTTTAGTTACAGTTTGGTTTATTAATTAGGAAATTTAGCTTGATAGTATCAGGGAGGAGCATCAATTCTGGTCTATGTTGCCATCAGGGACATTTGGAACATTAATTAGCTAGTCCTGAAACCCAAATTCAGGTTGTTAGGTAGCAGATTGAAGTCTGGACTACCCAGGTGGTATTTTCAGAAATGCTGCATTTTCCTTAGTCTTAACTGGTTAGATGAACAGATAGAGCTTAGAGCTTTCAAGGCATGGAAGAAATAGGAAAGTTGTTGTAATGACGAGGCAGTCGAGGTGTTTGATCATGATCAACTGAATCATGATGAACTTTATTGGAATCTAGTCTTGCATTTATACACATTTTTAGTTATCCTCCAACATTGGTTAACTTTAGTTTCTGCTTAACTTTCGTTACTGTTTAGCATAGCAACCAACACAATTAATTATCTCTAGTTAAAGTCTCACATATATTTACTTCCTCTCTCTAATCCTCCTTTACATTAGTGACTTTGTTTGCCTGAGTTGTATTTGCTTGTAAACATTCTTAATCTGAGGTTTGCCATCCAAGATAAGAACATTCCTGCAATTACAACTCTACAGAAAGTAATCCTCAATTTACAACCACAAATGGGACCAGAATTTTCACTGCTATGACCTTTTCTGACATAGTTGGTAAGAAAATCACTGCTGTCATTAAGTGAATCCCACAGCCATTAAACAAATCCAGTTTCCGCCATTGACTTTGCTTGTTGGAAGCCAGCCAGGAAGCTCACAAATGGTGATCTCACAACCCAGGCACATTGCAACTACCATAAATACATGCCAGTTTCCAAACACCTGAATTTGATGATCATGGAGATACTGCAATGGTTGTAACTGTGAAGACCCATCATACGTCACTCTTTTGATTGCCATTGTAACTTTGAATGGTCATTAAACAAATAGTTGTAAGCTGAAGACTACCTGTAGGTAGAGGACTTTAGATTTGTTAGAAACTGGGAACTTTGGGGACAGAAGAAAACTGTGGTGTCCACTTGAACTTAAATGCAAACAGTTGCTTGTGCATAACATCAAAGTGCTAGGCAGCATCCAGTTTGGGTTGTGTAGATATTTTGGAAATTACCATAAGGGAAAAAGCCAATATTTGAAGTAGGTTAATGGATGTCAGACTTCCTGACCAGGAATTATCAGAAAAACTCAGACCTGGTCTTATACAAGTCTGAAGACAGGATTTGGCAGAACATCCACAGAGATAGTTTTGACTAGAATATATTATCTAGCTGTTAGATAATAAATGTTACAGCAAATAAAAATGAAGCCAAATGTAATAGTTGATTGTGAGCATAGAAGGAGCTACCTCTTTGCATGGTAACCTTGAACTTTAGCAGCTGAGTGTTTCACTATCTAATTCGGTACAGAAAACAATTGGTTTTCAGTGCACATGGCAATGTAGCAAGGGCTGTGTATAAAACTCAACACCAGCAATATTTGAAAACGTGCACAGTGTACATATGTGAGAGGGTCAGTGCTAAGTAATTACAGTATTAGGCTATGACCAGGAATATATGATGGAAAACTGATGGAATGGAAATGACCAGTAGGACATAATCATTTCTGGATACAAGCATTGGGTCATGCTTGACTCGCTATGCACACACACATACACCCTCACAAGCAAACAACAGAAAACAGGGAGGGGGATGGGTAGATTTGGAATGCAAGGGGGGTGGGAATTGTGGAATGAAAACAAAAGGCTTGTACGCACTGGAGAAGGCTTGCTATTTATTTCAAAGAGATTATAAAATCTAACTTGTTTGAAACTTTGGAAGACCAAATTCCTTCATTCTGCCACAAATGTAAAATAGATTTAAGGAAGTTCTGTTGCACTTGATTAAAATGATAATAGTGATCCTGACAGGATCCTGACAAGAGACCTTTTAAAGGCTCAGGAACCCTTTGCAGGTGTTATGGCTTAATTAGCTGATTGTGGGAGTGGGACACTTTGAGCCTAGAATATTGAACCTTTTCACAATATTCTAATTTTCTGAGATTGTGGATCTGGGGTTTTCATAAGCTGTAAGCCATAATCATCTCAATTATGACACATCATGGCTTGAACTATCTTGCTTTGCATGTAATGAGTCTATCTCATATATCAGTTTCACCTTTTAAGTTGCATTACTGAAATAAATGAACTTTTGCACGATATTCTAATTTTTCGAGTTTCACCTGTATGTGACCCTCCTGAGACTGTTGGTTGTTTTGGGAAACTTTGAAGCCATCAGTCAAGATTTACTTCTGGTTAGATGTGGAGATTGGGAGGGAGAGGGCATGGTATTACAATATTCTTTTTTCTAAGTGGCTTATTTCAGTTGTGTTGATTGCTGAGATTGATCAATTTCGTGGTTGCTCTAGTAAGGGGCGCTATGGGGCTCATTCCTTTCTTCTTGCTGTTTAATATCTAAATGAAGGTCTATTAGCATGAAGTAAGGTATCCAGTAATGCTGTAGAACAGTGGTCCCCAACCTTTTTTGTACCAGGGACCAGTTTCAAGCACAAACACTTTCTCAAGGAGGGGGGGGGGGAAGAATCCGAGTTTGGTGGTTTGCTTGCAGACGTTTCATTACCTGACTTGGTAACATCTGATGTTGTTACCTAGTCGGGTAATAAAACGTCTGCCAGCAAACCACCAAGTTCAGGGAGCGCCTCGGCCCTGCCTCCCTCAGCCCCATCCCTCAGGTGTCTCCCTCCCTCCCTCAGGTGTCTGCCTCGTTCCTCTCTCAGTCGCTCTCTCGCTGCTCCACCAGCCCAGGAAGAAACTGATTCAAAGAAGCCGGGGGTGGTGGTGGTGGCTTTTCCTGTCGCCGCAGCTCCTCCGAAGTGCCCGTTTACCCCCACCCCGCCCGTCCACGCGCGTTTCAACCCAGTGCTCCGTTCTGCCTGCCTGCCTGCCTGCCTTCGTTTCGGAGCAGCTTCGGCTGATAAAAAGAGGCGAATAGTTATTATTCTCAGCCGAAGCTGCTCCCAAACAACCAAACAGGCAGGCAGGCAGAACGGGGCACTGAATTGAACCGCGCGCGGGCGGGATGGGGGTGAACGGGCGCTTCGGAGGCGCTGCGGCGACAGGAAAAGCCACCCATCCCCCCCCCGGCTTCTTTGAAGCAGTTTCTTCCTGGGCTGGTGGAGCAGCGAGAGAGCGACTGAGAGAGGAACGAGGCAGGAGGAAACCGAAGCCGCTGAGCCAGAGAGCAGGACAGGCTTTGGTTGCTTCCTCCCTCCCCTTCTCTCATTTGTGTCCTTGATCCCCGATCCCAGCAGCATTCACTGAAGGCGAAGAAAGCCGCCATTTTTTTTATTTTTTTTTCTTTGCGGCCCGGTACAGAGTGCTCCACGGACCGGGACCGGTCCGCGGCCCAGTGGTTGAGGACCCCTGCTGTAGAAGACATCCCCAGACTGGATAAGAGATAAAGTGAAGGTCCTAACATAGTGGGACCTTCCTAAGACTTAATGGGAAAAATAGGGTTTCTACATTCCAGATTTATCACTGATGAACTTGGGAGTAAGAAGGGATGTTTGCAGAATGTGAGATGTTTTATCTCACAATACAGAGACAAGTCTGATTCACAATTCAAGGTTTATTTCAAAAAGTGTTTGCAAAGGCGGCCTCCAAGTCTCTTCCCAAGTGGATTGAGTACAAGGAGAGCAAAATCCAATATTCAAGCAATACATTTTATACTCTCTATATAAGGCAAGCCAGGCCTAAGAAGCCTTCCCCACTCCCCTTATTATCTCTAAGTCATAAGTCAGCTAAGCCGTTGACTTGACAATTTCTTCAAGACACCAGATACCTTATCTTGTTTCCTTGTTGCTTTGCCTTGGGCGGATGCTTCCTATCTTATTTGCTTGTGACCTTGTCTTGGGTGAATATTCCTGTTTTCCAAGAAGATTGTAGCAAGTCACCACCTACTATTTACCTGAATATACTATGGAGTTAATATACAATAAGAACAGCATAGCTTAATAATACACTAGATACTTTTATAAAAGAGTAACTTATTGTTTATTTCCTTCAAGAACAACACTTGATGGACATTTGTGTTATCTATGGGGAGCAGTCTCTACTAATTAAAAAGAGTGAAGAAGAAGAACACAGATTAAGACAGTGCACGCTGAATGTATTTGCTAATAAAGGTATTTCCTTTATCTAGATTTTGTTTAAGATTTTGTCACCTAACCCCTCTGAGAACTTAATTTTCTTACTGCTTGGAGTGACAGATTGCTTGCCCAGTTAGCTGGACATTCCCCTGTTGTGCACCTGGAGGATTAAGAAGCTAAATGTTGTCAGGAAATTGTGTGGTATTCTTAGCTGTTATTGCTCTATTGTGACAAGGATTGTGTTTAACCCTTGATGGTATTGGGGAACTGAGTGGCATAAAATCTGTGGTAAATAAATAAAGATAATTGAACTAACAGCAGCATTATTCTTGGACAACTTGAAAGGCCTCAAAGTCACTTTAGGTAGTATTGGTTAATATTGAAAACAACCAGGTGTCAGAAATCTTTGCAACTGAAATATATAAAGTGGAATATAAGGATAAGTTGATGCAAAATTGAGGAATTGTTGCATACCAGTGTGTGATATATATATATATATATAGGCAGCTTTTTAATTACATAATCAAATGAAAAATGACCAGCAATATGCACTACCATGAAACTCATAGAAAAAAATTGTATTGCCACTGTGTTTTTTCTTAAGCATAAACTGAGTTGTGGCCATTGTATGCATTTATAATCTCTATGGACAATTAGGTGTGGCTATGCTCTGGAGTTTTAGTAATTCTCATTGAAAGCTGTTTGTGGTTATGTCTTCGTTCTCATACCAAAATTGTAAAACGTGAAGTGGGTTACTCCATTCAGGAATACATATGTCCATTAGACAAACAGTGTCATTTCCTGCATATATTTGGCAACCCCCAGTCAAAATAGATTACACAACTGGAAAACTTTTAGACTTTTTGGGGTGCTAACAGTGGGGCCAGCTTAATAATACAAAATGTGTATGCAGTAGTTACAATGCCTTTGCATTTTTATTGTTTTCTGGTTTTACCACGTTTTTCTGTTTGGTGTTATAAGCTATTGTTGGAAGGAAAATCCATCTGGTTCAGTTCCAACCCTGGAGAAAGACGCTGGAGATAAAATGGAGGCTGGAAATTGATTAGAAAGAGGGTCCATTTATTGATGAACAGAACCACTGGGGTTTGTGATTCTGGGGCAGCTGACCAAATGGTTGAATGAGTGGATGGATCTTTATAGGTTTCTGTGACTTTGAAGTTTGAACTGCTCTGTGGGTTGTGCAATGAAGGGAAAATGAAAGGGTGTTGGGCAATTCCTATTGTGGCTAATGTCTTTTGTCCTGTGTTGGATCTTGGGTGATGGGCTGCTTGTTCTGATCCTACCATTCTGCTTTGGTTAGCTGTCAAACTTTGCTGCAAGGAGTTTTGAAATATCCTGTCTTGAATGGATTTCTACATGCAATATTTGCTTTGCTTATGAATGGAGCCATCTAGATAGTTGGCTTCCTCTTTCAATAAGCTCTTTATCTCCTTAAGTGCTGGCATCTGCTGTGGGCTATTAAGAAAGACTGGGTGTTGCTTTCTGCCTCTAAAACATGTTTCTCCATTTCTCTTTTAGGGAAATATAATATTATCCCTTTTTAATATTTAATATTTTTAATATTCTTCGGGGGGGGGGGGAGCTTCCCACAATATCATGAATACTGTCTAAGTGTGGTGTTAGTTGAGCACAAAATAATAGATACATTAAATGTGTGGGTATGTGCATATAATGAGCTAAAGTTATTGCACGATGATAAATACATTTGATTATAAGCTCTTGACATCTGAATTCACCAATGATTAATTATCAAGAGCAGAGCCCACTATCTGTCTCAGTCCCCACCTTTCCTTACCTGTCTAACTGAGCTAGCACTCACTCTCTGCTATCAGGTTTCCTCAAGAGGCAGAAATGTAATTTTGAATTGACTGTTTTGATACAAACCTTTAATTTTAAAAAGCTTTTTAAGATGGAGAAGGTGGCAGGGCATGCTGTACACAAGTAAACATTATTTGCCAGAAAGTATAACCCCTGCTCTTGAGGACAATATGTGGGGAGATGGATGATTGTTTAATTTGGGGATCCTCCATTTTTTAAATGTTTATTGGGCCATGATTGCAGAATGTTTGAGAAACACTGGTGTAGAAAGAAATTGGCATAATGACATCAGCCATAAATTCCTATGCATTTCTATTTAGAAGACTTCTAAAGAAAATGTATCTAAATATAATGCTGATACACTTTATTGTTTTTTAATTCTGCACAGGCCTTGAAATATGGACAGGGGCTTTTTCCCACGAAGGAAGAGGTTCCCCAGAAGATGCCATGATCAGTGGTTTCAGCAGAACGTAAGTTTTTCTGTTTAATTCTTCCCAACTCTCAACTCTAGTTTCTTATTCCAGACATTAGATACACACACACACACACACACACACACACACACACACACACACACGGGATGTCAAACTTGATTTAATTGAGGACCGCATCAGGGTTGTGTTTGACCTCAGCGGGCTGGAGGGGCATGGTGGAGGGTGGGGGTAGCCATGGTGGGGGTGGCCAGCTCAACATCACTCATGTCAAGGACACCTGTGGTGGCCAAGTGCTAAAGCAGGACTTCCCTAAGACCCTCCCTCACTCTCATTATAATCTCATTCCTTCCTTTCTTCTCTTCTTCTTCCTTCCCTCTGTTGAAAGGCTGGAAAATGCCTTTCTTCTGAGGAT